TGTATATGAAGCTTTTTTATATGACAGCATTGAGGCTTGCATTTGTCCAAAAGCAGAACATCAAAATGTCAAAACCTTACAAGTTGTCAGTGCAAATGTGCTTTTATGTGTTGGAAGAATTTCACGATTTTTGACATGAAGCTTAATGGAAAAAACTGTCATTGCTTTTAAGCCTTGTCTCCGGTGTAGATCTGTATGTATCAATATGTTTATGGCTGGCTGGGGGGCATGACTGACTGCAGCTGAAAAGGTTAAAACCCCCAATAATTTTGGTAAAATTCAGAAGTGTTTGCAATTTTTGACTTGTGCATACCATGCTATACTGAGAAGTTCAGTTGAGTGTTAGTGTACCATGCAAACGATGTGTATAGCTGAGTTCTCTTTTCTGGCACTGTGGTAGCAGACCCTGCTAGGCCTCTACTGATGACCCCCTTTCTACAGTCCAGTTTAGCCACTTTATATTTTGGTAGCTGGTCATTTCCTTCCTGTTCTACAATTGGAATTCAGCCTGATTAGTTCCCGCATGTTTTTTCTGCATGAAGAGGCAGAGAAAGCTTTGTGTGAAGTACGGTGCAAGTCCGGTCATTCATGAGATTCCCTATCCTGAGTGCACAGAATTAGGCTGTGTTGGCTGATAAATCTAGAACTTGAGGCAAGGACAAAATTTTTTAAAAAACGCAGAACTGGTGCAGCTCTTTGGACTGGTGCAGTTTTCTCTTTTTAAGGCCAAAAACCAGGGCTCACAGGGATGTGAAGCTTGAAATGCTGCCCTCAGAAAGCAATGCCCTGAATGCCGGCAAGAGCTGCTAAGCCAGCTTGGAATTCTGAAAACTTGTTTTAGATCTCGTAAAGGTGAGCACTTACAATGATGTCATGTTCTTATTTAATCAAAGCTTTACATGGAGCTGTAGCAGGGGAAAAAAATCCTGTTCAAAGTAGCATACATGTCAAAGTTGTACATAGCAAATCAGCCAGATGCTCTTAGTTGTGTGGAAACGTGCCTCTGCTGGCATATAGGGGCCCTGTATTGATACGAAATTTACAGGTTCTTTGTACAGAAGTTTCATTCACATCTTTTATAGGAAGAGTGTAATAAATGAGTGGTTTTGATATTAGCCAGTCCAGAATCATTAAGGTTTGCTTTGCATTCCATTCACTTAAATGTACCTTGTCGTGTTTCAAAATATTTCACTGGGGCTTCTTATGATGTTTTCAATGTGCTTGTGCAAACAAATGGACAGATCCTCAAGTGATGCCAATGAGACCTTGGTAACTGCTGCTAGTAAGGCATGGAAACTGCCAGTACTATTTTTTTTTCCAGATATAATAAAATGGTAGGAGGCACCCAAAGGCTGCATAAGGAGTTGTTGCTAAATGCAGGGATTGCACCCATTCTTGTGATTTCATGCAAGTCCTTTGCAGGATTGCAACCATAATCATCATGACTCTTAGAGTTTACTCTTAGATCTTTTTTGCTCAGCAGTCTGAACGTGCTAACTGTTACCTAAATGTAGATGAAAAAGCAACTCTGAAAAGTTCTACATATTTTACTCTTTCTTATAAAAATGAAAACTGGAAATATCATGAGAAGTCTTGAAGGGTCTCCTGTATAAAAGCTTCGGATATCTGTGTTTTTGTGATTTCAGCTGGATTGACACTATCAGCGTTTTTGACATTGCTGCATAAATCACAGACTCACAGAATGGTTGAGGTTGGAAGGGACCCCTAGAGATCGTCTGGTCCAACCCCCCTGCTCCAGCAGGGACACCCAGAGCACGGGGCACAGGGTGGCATCGAGGCGAGTTTGAAGATCTCCAGAGAAGGAGCCTCCACAACATCTCTCGCACGCCTGTGCGAGGCTGCCAGCGCAACTGGAAAGTTCTTCTTCCTCATTTAGAGGGGGAACTTCCTGGTTTTCAGCTTGTACCCATTCTGCCTTATCCTGTCACTGGCCACCACGGAGAAGAGTTTTCCCCCATCCTCCCTACATTCTCCCCTAAGGTATTTGTGCATACTGATCAGATCTCCTCTCAGTCTTCTCCAGGCTGAACAGGCCCAGCTGGCTCAGTCTTTCCTCATATAATAGATGCTCCAGTCCCTTCATCATCTTTGTGGCTCTGTGCTGGACCCTCTTCAGAAGCTCCCTGTCCCTCTTGTCCTGAGGAGCCCAGAACTGCACCCAGCACTTCAGGTGTGGCCTCCCCAGAGCTGAGCAGAGGGGTAGGATCTCCTCCCTCGCCCGACTGCCAACACTCCTGATGCAACCAGGAGCCCATCGGCCTTCCTGGCCACAGGGACACATTGCTGGCTCAAGCTTGCTCTGTGTGTGATGTTTTGAATTTTGTGATTTTAACCCAAAGTGGAAACACTAATTAGAAATAGGTGTGCAGAGAATCAAACTTGTTTGGAGATTAAATGCTGTTGGTTGAACAGTGCATCAAACTGTTACAACAGCAATTATTTTATTGAGATTTATGAGTGTTTACAAATATTGTCCTAGATGAGAAATCCATTACAATACTTTGAGGGAGCTTCTGAATTCTTGAGGCTCTTTGAGGTGCAGATATTTATCTGCGAGCAAGAGGAAGCTGGTGGAACTGTGCTGTTTTTATGTGCAGAGTACCAATGCTGCTGTCCAAGGTGGTAGCAGTAGGCTACAAATACCGTGGGTGTTATCTTCTGTTATGCAGGGATAATGCAGGGCTATCAAACCATGTTCCTCCATGCTTAAACATCCTTTAACAGATAAGGAAATAACTGCTGGTGAATTCCTCCTACACCTTCCCAAAAATAACATCTCAACCAGAACTTTCATCACTGCTACAGTGGGTTAAGGAGTGCTGCAATTCTGGACAGCAGTGTGGAGCCTGTGGATGTGGGGGTTGCAGGTCTGAGTGTTCTTGTCTTCCTTTGAGAAGCCGCCCACTGTCCAAGGGCTCTTTTCTGAGTGCTTGGAACTGCTAGGATGTCAAACAAGAGCTGCCCTGCTTGCTATCCATATGGACAAGAGTCTGTATGAGGCTTAGAAGGATGAGCTTCCAGGTAACTGAGAGTAACAGCCCTGCTGTGTCAGGCTAAGATGGATTTATTCACTGTGATATTCCCTAAGTGCTACAGCACTAGGATGTTGTGGGCCAAGGATTTCATGGAAGCTGAACTCGACATGGAGGTCAGTCTTGCACATTTTAATTTTACTAGGACAAATTTATGCATCAAATATATTTCATGACAAAGTGCTTCCAGTTTTTGTGTACAAACAAAAGTACTGCAGTATATAGATTGTTGGAGAAATAAATAATGTTCTAGATGTTGATGGCTGAAAATGTAATGTTGAGGTCTATTATGTGGAAATTTCTGCTTAAATGCTGAAAATATTTTCATCTGAAATACAGGCTTTAAAATGAAAACAAGTCAGCACTCATCCCTGAGACATGTTGGTGCCTGCAGAAAACTCAAGTAGACAGTGCTGAATTTGACACTCGGGTACTATTTTTTTTTCCTTTGGGGGATTTTTTTAAACCTTTTTGCTTAAAAATCTTGCAGAAAGAAGTATTTATGTTCGTATGTCACTTCTGTCCAAAATCATGACTTTCCAAGATATTAGGACAACAAAATGCTGTTGAACTTTACCAATAATCTCCATTCAGGACTATTGCATTTTGGATCTGTGCACAGTGGATCAGTGTTTCCTAGAAATGGTGCCTCTGGGTACTGACCATGAGGTCTGTGAAACTGAGCAGGACACTTGGGAAGTGCTATGTATCCTCTGCTCTTGGCCTTTTAAAACAACTGTGTTTTTGAATCAGTGTTTTCTACTCTTATTTAGATGGTCGTATTTTCATACAGAAAGAAATTTAAGTCCTTTATTACAAAGATCAAAAGTTGTGGTTTCCGTTTACATACACAATTTACAAATTATTAACAAAGGGAACAACCAATATGCAAGAACTGGCAGCTTGCTTCAGTTAAAGCTGGAGATGGGATGGGGCTGCTGTTTCCCTGCTCTGTTTACTGAAAAAAGATATGCTTGTCTTCTATTTTCAGTATGTGTTAAACACTGACCCAGCGTTTATTTAGCACCTTAAGTCATAACCCTTCCAGTGCTTACATCCTTGTCTTTACTGAACAGAATACAATACATGTACAAGCACACCGGGATCTTCATTCTCCTCGCAATGCTTGAGAATTTTCTGTAAGAAATCTGGTAGATTTTGGCATGATAGGGTGGTAAAGTTTGAGGGGGGGGAAAAAGTTACTAGGATTTTTCTGGTTTGAGGAATGTGTCATTAAAACAAATGCTGATTACTGTCAGAACTCATATTCTGACAATTAAATTAAGGATGGCTGCTATACCTTGGAGAGAAAAAGAAGAGATGACTGCTGTGTGCTCTTAAGGTAGGCACTAGCCATGTCATTAGATGTTTGTTTTTGTTAGGACCACAACTGATATATTGCTTTTTTCTTTGTTTAAGTTAGCTTGTTTCCTGAAACCATTTCAGGGATTAGGAAACTTAACAACAAAGAATGATAATTTACCAAATCTCACAATTAGGAAATTTATCACAGAATACTTTTACAACACTCAACAAAAGGGAGAACCAATGAGTTTCCAAATCCCTCGATATGCAAGCACAATATCCACAGTGCAGTAGCTGCCATTTAGCTAAACCTACAAACATCCATAACTTGTACTTTTTGCTGTCTCTAGTTATGGAGTGTAAACAAACTGCTTGAAGGAGTACACTGATTTTGGAGCAAACACATCTGTAAATACGAAGATCACCAATGTGATGTTGCATCCAAATGGCTAAGCAGAAAAGCAAAAAACAAAGGTTGTTACATCTACTGGAACTGTTTAGTGGATGTCCAAATATTAATGCTAGTATTATGATAGTACGATCTACACAGGTATCAAATACTCTCTACCATGATGCCTGCAGTGTTCTCCGTAAGATAGATGAATCTGCAACACCATGGCAAACTTGCAATACCTTAGTAGGCACCGACTGGATAACTGGAGTTACTGGAACCTCACAGGACAATACAACATTACAGTAGGCCTTTGCTAAGGCTTCTTGCTGGTTTCAGAAGGTAGGTTTTGCTTTAAGGAGATTGTCCAGCACTGTTTATTCACTTCTCTTCAATGGAAGGTCTCTTTGTTGATCCACATGAGACTGCGCGTTTCATTTGGTTTGCATTCGTACTCGATACTGCCAAAACTGTTTCCCCATTGGCAATGATCCCGTTTGTGGTAGTTATAGAATTTGACTTGCCAGACTGTTTCAAAAACACCAATGTCATTAAACTGTGAAGGAGAAGGAATATCAATGTTAGTAAGCTGATTGTTTTGTCCTTTTTTTTTTTTTTTTTTCCCTCTCCTCTCAATGGAAAAGAGCTTTACAAAACTGTGGACAATAAAGCAAATCATGCAAGAGTTATTATTTCTTAAGCTGACAAATCAAAGATCTGTAAAACCTGCTCTAGGAGACACCATGAAGCTTTTTGTGCTTAGGAATACACGGAACATGCAGCACCAGATTCTCTGTGTGCTATTCGCTTGTAGTCGTTTGTGTGGGAAAGACAAGAGAATAAAAATGTTAAAGTTTACACATGTGTAAAACGTTGCTAACAGCAGGAAGCAAGGGTAACGGGGTAACTTGTTAGTGGCTGGTCTGGTGATCCTGAAGGCTGCCAGGACTTTCTTCCCTTTGCCTAATCCGAAATGTTTGATGTCTCTGTTTGGTGTTTACAGTGCAGAGAAGCCTGCTGATTGAGACCACGTAGAGCTGGGCCAGCTCTCAAACCTCCGTGTGGGTAATGGAGGCCAGGAAGGGGCCGGCGTGTATTAGCAGGTAGGATCTGATCCCATGAAGGTAACACAGCTTTGACTGCCAAGCTGTCTGGCCACGTTTGCACCTTACTGAAAAGGAAATGGAACTATGACTGTAGTAATTAAAGCTTATTGTATAAAATCTCATGGTTTTTGAATCACTGCTGGACACCTTTAGAACATCAGAATCTCTGTGAGTGGTGCTTATAAGGAAAGGCTGCTATTTCAATGGTGATATTGTGAACTTTGCAATTCTGAGACTGCAGACCTGACACCTTGCAGAGAGACCGGTGTGAAGGTGTGGAGTTCATGCACTGCCGGTTTGTTGATTTGTTCCGTTGGCAGAAAATACTAGATAGGGGACTCAGTGCTACTGAATGGCACTCTGTTCTCTAGCATTTTTTTTTCCTTTTAAATGTTTCCATCGCACATTTAATGACAGGTTCTTCCCTTGACTATTCTCCATTCCCATCATGTGCTTGGGAGCTGACCCTTGATCATCTACATACTGTTAACCACCCTTGGAAAGTCAGTACGAGAGCCCTTTTACACAGTTCCTCTTGCTCAGTTGCAGGCGGAACATTCTGTACTCAAATTTCTCAGGTTTTGTATTTAAGCACAAAATGTGGATTGTAACCTGCTGCTGTGTATTGGACATGGTTTAAAATCTTCCCTCATCCAGTAACTTAAATTTAGCCTTGACAACAGCAAGAATTGCTGTGTGTTGAGGTTTGTGAAAGATTTTATTTGGCACCAGTTGTGTGTGTGACCTTAAAGGAATAGCTGCATCATTCCTGCGGCTTCCTTAGAAGAGGAGAGAAGGCAGTGTACAAACTATTCATATTCTCACCAGCCAAAACCTTATGTAAGGGTCCTTTCCTAACACCTTCTGATGGTAATCCTGGTACTGCTTGTTATGCAGGATACTAAGGGTTAAGCGCGTCGAGTAGTACTGTGCAAAGCCCAGACGTTGCCGGTAAAGAGGAGCATCAGACATCCGTCTCCAGAAGAGGAAGGAAGAACAGGGATTGATCATGAAGAAAACAGTGTTTATAGAAGGTGAGATGATATTAAGAGTAGTACTTGTTCAACTTGTGTGCAGTAAGCCCAGTTTGCATTTGCAGGAAGTGGACATTATAAGCATTTTTTGGCATGGGCTCACTGAGGTGAGGTCCCTAAATTTGTCCCAGCTCTGTCTTGCTAAAGAGCTAAGTGAAGAGTTAAGCATGTAAATCCCTGTTGAATTGTCCATATTTAATACTTGTAAGTATCAGTTGTTGATTCTTAAGTCTATATTAAAGAACCAGTCTGTCAAGATCAAATCCTAAAAGAGGTTGAATTACCTGCTTAACACTTGCAAATCCTATTAACTTCATGGTTAGTATCTCAGGATTTGATATGTAAAGCTCCTGTTTGGACAAATATTGTGGCTGCTCGTTCTGATGCTGCAAAAAAAGCAGCTACGAGCTTGTGTCAGAGAGATAGGTGGTCTTTTTGTTACTTGAACTTGTTTCATTTGTGTTTTATTTGACTAGATTTTTCCCAAAGAAAAAGTACAGTTCCAGATTTTCAGATCTCACAGCAATGTTATGTGTGGCTATCAAAACAGGGGTGCCTCTTAAAGCAGGACCAAAAAGGTTCTTTGGAGCACTGCCTTTCCACCTCCTGCATAAGGACTACATGCATAAGGACTAAGTAAAACCCAGTAGTTACACTGAACAGTGGCATCAAGGAGGTGTTTTCTAGGTTAGTGCTATAGAAAAATTTCCTCTCCTCCTGCTCTGTGTCAAGAAGGGCGCCTGCCCACGCCTTGTGTATTTGTCCTAGGCTCCTGAAAGGAGCGGAGTTGGACAGTTGAGGAGTTTGGCTGGGTTTTATTTGGTTTCCCTGAAAGGAAGCAACTGCACAGAGAGGGAATCATTATGATCAAATGCTTCAGGTAGTCACTGTTATGCTTCAGCTAAGATGTGGGTCTCCAAAATCATTACACTTGCTGTAGTTATCAGAAATTTCAAACAGATGTGTCACAGTTTTTATTCTGGAGGAGTTTGATGTGCTAAGTGATGTTTCGGGCAGGTGGGGGGGGGGGAAGGAAGGGCAGCATAAGAATCCATAAAGATGAAGTCTTGAGTGCTGCCAGCAAGTGCAAGACATCAGGTAGCCTAAGTGAGATCCTAACCTGGTATAAATTGGAAGAGAGCTCTAGGAGAGCTCTAGTTGAGGATCGCAGTTCCCCTTCTTCCATGTGGGAAGTACATATAGGAGTCTCTTACAGAACCGTAATCAGGAAAAATGGAACCTCAGAGCCAAACCAATCTCCCTCTGCATGCTAAACATTACCAAAGAGTGTTGTCAGATGCCAGTTCTGCGCCTTAGGGGCTTGGACTTTTATCTCCTCTCACTTTGGATGCATGGCAAGGTTGGGGTAAGCATCTACCTCCAGGAGGAAGTTTGCAGGTGCACAGTTAGTGTAGTGTTGGAAACCATGGAAGCATGTGGACAAAGAGAGGGAGGAGAGCACCGTCAGCCTGACTGTGTCTGTGTCTGGGCAGGTGCTTTCAGCCTCACACAGGTGGTGTCCTGCAGGTGACTGCTGAAGGGGGAGGTGATTGCACCTCATGCTCCAAGGAAGTTGGCGGTGCTGCCAGACACAAAGGGAATCTGTGCACAAAGGGCTTGGGACTAGATTACAAGATGGAGCCACATAGTTTTGGTGAGAATTTCCTGAAGTCTGTAGTACTGCCTGCAGAAGAGGCAGAAGGATTGGCTCTGAGGAGCCCAATTTCTTCCTCTTGTAGTGTCCCAAGAGCTATGCAGGTTTCTGGGAATCCTCCACCTGGCCCCTGCAGCTCTCTTGGCTCCTGCTTAGGCTGCATGAGTTGTGCCTTTTGAGCTACACTCTGACCAGCAGCCCCAGTGACACAGCCAAGAGGAGGACAGCTGGGGGCAACAGCTGTGACCAGGCTCTGTCCTGCTACTCTAGAGCTCCACACCTCTGTCCTCTGCTGCTTTCCCTTGTCCTCCTGGGCCAGCTCCCACTGAATTGAGGGCCACGTACCTGCATGTTGACCTGGATGGGCTGCCTCTCGCCACTCTTGGTGTGGGGCACTCCTTCTGTGTCGTAGATCCCTGTGTAAGAGACCACTTGTGCATCCCTTGATTTTTCCTCCAGCGGTACGTTCACACCACCGATGCCCATTGTCCTGCAAAGAGATGGGCTGTTGGCCTTGAGTAGCCCTGCAGGCCCCTTCCAGCAGCCTGGAGCCAGCATGGGGGCTTGCCGGCTTCTAGGATAGTAAGAAACCTGCGGAACCTGCTGACTCACTGTGATTCCTTGATGTGTCAGAGCTCTGCAGACCCTTAGAGAAGAAGTGGAAAGGAAGGCAAGGGTGATCTAAGCTCCAGAAGTTGGGGCCGTGCTGGCTGAATTCCTTCTCTGTGGCTCCCCTCCCCCCAGAGCTGCTTTTCCAGCTACAGCCATCCTGCTGCCTGTCTCTATCTTGCCATGGTGCTGTGGGGCTGGGGCAGGGGACATCTCTGAAATGCAGGGCTGGAGGGGCTGCCCCCTCTCCCTGCGCCAGAGCAAACCATGGGAAGGAGAGAGAAAAAGAGCAAGGACTGTAAAGGGCTGGATAGAGGTGGGAATGGAGGGAAAACGCACTTGGCTTCTCCTCTGGGCTGGCCCTGTGTGCTGCCTGGGCAGCGCAAGGGGAAGAGCTGTCTAGGGACCTAGAAACGGGTCCACCAAAGCAAGAGGGCGGGGAGGCAGAAATCTCAGAAACCCTCGGCTGTCAGCCTGCCAGGAAAAAATATTAAACCTCTAAAAATAAAGCACTAGGGGAGGGAGGGCTGCTGGAGGCGCCCCTGGGCTGTGCCGCGAAGGATGCACTTACGTGGCCTGAACGGTGCCGGGACGGAGGACCACCTCGATCTTGTATTTGGCCCCGGTGAGCAGCTTGATGGTGCGGTTCTGGCCAAAGCGCTGCCCGTCCACCTTGAAATAGACTGCGCCATCGTTGGGCTGGATTTTGAGGGAGACGCTGATTTTCACAAGGGTGGGGATGTCGCCCATGGCTTGCAGTGGGGTGGCCGTGGGCCTCGTGCTCCTTGCTCCCCCTCCACGGAAGGTGGCTACCGGCAGCCAAGACCGAGGCGGCGAGGGGGAGGAAGAGGAGGAGGGAGGAGGAAGAGGAGGGGCTGCCGGCCCCGCGCAGCCCAGCCCTTCCCAAAAGCATTGGATGAGACATTTTTTCCCACCCTTCCCTTCCCCCCGCAACCGCTTCCAATCACTGCGCAGCAGCTGTGCGCCCCTGCGCCGCTCCCGCCTTGGGCACGTCTGCAGCTGTTGACAATTCAACCGGTTTCCAGGGAGCTAATCCGGCCCCGATTACCGCAGCCTTAATCCCGCCGTGTGGCCGGAGCGGCAGCGCGCGGAGCAGCTTCAGCACCAGGGCGGCGGACAGCGCCCGCGGGCGGCGCGGCTCGAGGCGCAGCGCGGCCGCTCCTGCTGCCCCTGAGCTGCCGTTCCCGGCCCCAGGGGCAGGTTCCTACCCCCGCCAGAGTCACAGCCGGGCCCCCCTGTGATTTCACTGGCATCGATATTTGGGTCAGAGCTTCTATGAGGATTCTTGCCGCTTCATCCCAATTTTCTTCCTTTAAGAGAAGGAACGCTGAAACTGCAGTAGCAAATCACAGTCTTATTTCTTTACGTCTCATGGCTGGTACCATTTCTTTAAGGAGATGTATTTTTGAAACTGAAAGATGTTTCATCTTTCGTCACTGTAATTCATCTTGCCATAGATCATATCCCAGTCAGAGATGGCTTTTAGCCCAGAAACAGGAGACTTGTGTGACACAACCTCCCCAGCTTTTGCATTTGTTCTTGTGTTTGCTGTTAAAACTACAGCATTCTCATAGCTGACACATGATTCGGGCCATAAATATATCTTTGTCTTGATTTGGTATCGGGCAGAGCTCAGGAATTCATGAGGAGAACAGCACAGCTAGTTCACCTACAGTGGTGTGGGACCTGACCTTTTCTTTCTTTTTCTAAAGCTGGAGTATATACATATGTTGGTAAAATGTAGCATTTACAAGCCAGATGGAATATCTAACATTACCCAGTTGCACTTATTGAGGTGACTAAGGGAATATTTTTTTTAAAATGAACCTTGAGCAGAAGAATACATATTGCTGAAAACTTGACCACTATAACAGAAATGCTTCTGTATTTACCTTGATTAGGTATCTAGCTAAGAACCGTTCTTAGCAGCAAGGTTTCCACAAAGATAAGGGAGGGGGACACCCCCTCCATCTCAGAACTAGGTATGTCTTGATCTCTATAAGTAACACCCAGCTTCCAGTGGCTGTTGCTGGCAGCAGGGGAAAGTGGTTACACGGTGGAGTCACTGCTTCTCCCCCTGAACAATCAAGACTGGAGCAAATGCTATTTAAAAAAAAAAAAAAGAGAGAGAGAGAGGGAGAGAGAAGCCCAACAGTTCCCTCTGCATGGTGTGGTAGTGGCCTCTTCATCATTCATGTTGGGGAAGAGTCTTTTGGGCACTGTTATCTTAACTCAAATCCTCCTGATATAAGGTTTGGTATGGTAGGGTTCATCTATGTATGAATCTGCTCTACAGACACCAACTGCTTGTTGAGTCACCTAAGACTCTTATACATTCAAAGGTCGTATAATCAATAGAGTTAGTAAATGATAGGAGCAATTTGTCCCACAATAGGAGCCAACATTTGATCACAGGTCATGCACTAAAGTGCCTATATTTACTGCCTATATGTCTGCTGACTGTAAAGGTCACTAGAAGCAGACACCTAAAGTTAGGTAAAAAGGATCCCACCCATTGTCTAGGCTAATATGAAATAGTCTCAGAAATATTTTGGAGGTGTCAGATAATCAACTGGTATGCACAGGTTGTAAGGTGAGGAAGCAGCTGCTATATATGCACAAAAATCTCATTGTCTCATGGCTCCAAAAAAAAAAAAAAAGTCCATGCGTGCATCTCTGCATATCTTCTTTGCTCATTGTGAGGCACTTCTCTTTTTTTTTCATTATGTTCTGCTGAGAACTGTTGTGTTTTGTGGCTTGGGGAAAGTTTTGCTTGCAGCAATTCCCACTGAATTTGAATATAATACTGTAAGAAACCACAGAGACCTTAGATGGGGAACCTGATAGTGTCACTTAAAGTGGTGTACAGAATAATGGCTGACATCAGGGATAATATCTGCTTTCCTCAAGAGCGAGATATATCAGGTTGCAGTAAATTGTGTGTAGCTGAAAGCATTGATTGCAATTACTTTCCCAAGTACCCATAAGGATAGATCTATAACAAAACATTTTGCCCTGATTATTTCTGCCTGAACAATTAATCGTCTTTCTCTGAACACAAACCCAGGCTGTGATTTTATTCCAGTACACTAGCAAAAAATGGCAAACATGATGAAAGACTTAAGCTTTGTATTGTGGATTGTACATACATAGTCTGCTTTACCATTTGAAAGAGAAACACTGTGACAGTGGAACACTTATGAGGAAGTAATTTTGAATGTCTTTTTTTTTTCTTATCAATCCGATAACTTAATGTGTCTTTATGTTATTCAATTATCCGACCCTACCATTCGATGTTCTCTATCGGTGTAGCTCACAGAGGGTTTTATCTTTCTAAAGGCTTTTTTGAGATCAGTTCTGCTGCTGCAGCATCATTCTTCTTTTCACAGGGAAAATTATCCAAATGACCAGTATTATGCTTGTTAAAAAAAAAAAGAATAAAATAAAATAAAATAAAATAATCCTGGAGAGCAAGATGTCTCTCTCTCACTGATAAGCTATTGGCTTAGCCTGAGCTGAGGGCACTAACACCTCACCCAGAGCCTCCCAAACACTCCTCTTCCCTCCCATGGCCCAGGGGGACTATTTAAGCTCAAGCTAAGGTTGTCAGGGTCTTTCCTAGTGATGCTGTGGGAATGCTGGTATCCAGCTTGGTATCCAGCCTGGCTCCAGCCGTGCCTGTGTCTGGCACTGGGCGCACCAGTCCAGCCCCCAGCCCGTTGGCTGAGCCCTCAGATGTACTCTCTTACCGTGGTCCTGTTCAGTTGACAGTGTCCCACTCTGGTTACCCTCCCTAGACCTGACCCTGGTCTGTGGACTGACCTCCTTCCTTCCTGTGCTCTGCCTGATTGCCACGAACTCACCTGGTGATCTGGCCTGCCCTGTTCCCTTGCTGGGGGCAGTGGGATGGTCTTAGGGAAGAGACAGCGCTCACTGTGCCCTGATACCGAGTGCTTGATGTTCTGATAGGAGCAAAACATCTGGAGCTAGAAGGAGGCTGTGTGTTTTTTTGCCAGAAGCAGAGGACAAGCATAGCTGTTACAAAGCTAAATATATCATCATGAGGCTTATGGCAAGGTGTCTTTTTGGTGTTCTCTCAGGCCACAGCAGTAACTTGCTTCCATAAACAAGTAAATAAAGTCAGGTGTCCTTCCTTCCATCCTCCACACCTGTATGCCTTGGAGATTTTGTTTGTTGTAAAACTTTTTAATTCTAATACACAGAATAGTTTGTTAGTTTGCTTTTTTGCTTTGCCCTGCGTTTTGTTGCCCTGGCATCTGAGATGCCCCAGCCTATGGTCTGGTTTGGTAGGGTAGGCGAGTGTGAGGTCTCGCTGGCTTCCTGGAGGCCAGCAGCTGGCAAGGCCTTCAGTGCTCTCCCAGGGCAGGGTGGGCTGGCAGACTTAGCCATTCTCATTTTGTTCTTTCTCCCAGGGCAAGGACGGTCTCACGCTGCTGTGTCTCCTCCTTGACATCTCTCCTGTCCCTGGGCCTTTCCTGTTTTGACTACATCACCTGTTTGTATAACTCAAGGGAAAATACCATAGAAGAGAGGTGAGTAAGTCACCGGGGAGGCTGATTTTATTCTGTGAAAGTTCACAGCTAATATGTATGCAAGTCACTGCCTATGGTAAAGCTAATACACACTGGCCCAGTTTGCCTAGAAAACATTCTGGAGACATCCGTTTGGTATCTCATTTAATATGATCTCTGTATGTATAACGTCAGCGACATCAGCATTTCGGTGTTACTATTTATGCTGTCCTTCCCATTTTCCAGTGTAGGCACCAATGCTGCCTCTTAACTCTGCAAAAATTAAATGTATGAAATGTGCCTGAGGCCAGAACATGATGGTTTATTTATGACAGCCAACCCAATAACATTTGGATTCCAAGATGATATCAGTAATACTTGTAATGATCTTTTCATTTCTTCCTCCCTCTTTGATTACTATTTTTTTAAAACAATGTTTAATTTGGAAGTGTTCTGCATTTGGTTTCTTTTTGAGAGGTGAATTCAAAGCCACAATCTCTCATTCTCTAACAATAACCATATGTGTAATGCCGTATGGAGGGCATTGTGCTGTGGCTCACACACCTGCCAGCTCTAAGTTTCATACTCCATTTCCATTTTCAATAGAAATGGAGTATGAAGTGAGAAGGGCTGTTACTGAACTGTAAGTTGGGCTGAGTCTTTATTTATCACCTCCACAAATTGCTTGCTTATGTTATTTTTCCTGTGTAGGTAATAATTTAAATACCCAGCCTTTGATGTAGACCTTCCCTTGAAGTGTAGCCTGATTTGCGGGAGTGATGCATGTATATGGAGAGCCTATGTGCTCTGTTACCAGATGGAGAGGGCTTACGGCACTTAAATCACAATAAACACAGCGCTACAGCAGTGTGAGGGCTAGTCCTGGGGCAGTGCAGTTAATGTAACCAGCTGAGCAATTGCAAATATCTTCCTTGCAAGTGACACCTTTTTTTGTCTGAAGAGTTTGAGCTTTGGATATAAAGGTCCATCCATCTCTAAGATGGAGCCTGTGCTCAAATCAATATAGTTGTTAAAGTATATTGAATACCTGAATACATGAATATATAAATACAGGTTTGTTTGTTTGTTTATTAATGCTTGTGGGAGCAATCCCTGATGTAGCAGAAAACAAGATTTTGTGAAGAAGCAGAGCAACAAGATCTCTCTTGTAAGAACAACTCACTTGCCAATAAACTGAGTTAAG